TAAGACGGGGCACAAGAGAAACGACTGTCCAGTGTTTAGGTCACCTTGATCTGGCTGACCAGCACTCATGGTTGGTGTGAGTGGTATACAACTACTGATCTCAATAAATCAGGTGTATATAGTTTAAGGGATTTATGCTTGCTTTCTGGATTACCACTTAGGGTTAGGGTATCAAGAAAATAACATTGTGATCTGAATAAATTTGGTTTCCAAAGGAAACTGTGGTGAAATTCCACCTCAAACTGTGTAATTTGCAAGTTGCTAATTAATTTTCAAATTGTGAATTTGATTTCAGAGTTACATTTAAATATAAGTTGAGGGTTTTGCTTGGTAAAGATACTACAAGCAAAAAGGCACGAGGCAAACAAAAATACGCAGATAACTTACATATGTGATTAAGTTGCGGGAAAATAGTAATTCCGCCATAATTACCATCCAGTTGATTCAGGGCAGCACGACGAATCTAAATGCAGAATGAAAGACGGTTGGTATATATGCATATCGAGAGAGCTAGTTAGTCACTGTTTGGAATAAGGTGATCATTTCCGAGCAGACAATACAAATAATGTTACTACCCGAATACACTTAAGAATTTGTCTAAAATACTGCGAAACCTGGCCATTGAGAGTGGAGGACATGAAAAGCTGTCTTTGATCATAGGTACCTGCGTTCTATCTCCCGTGTGAAGTGGTATAATAGAATGAGCAATACTGAGGTTGGGCGTCGAGCGCTAGGTAAAGAGGGGAAATCAATCAACGAGGCTGTCAAGCTACATCGACTGAGACGGTTAGAACATGTGTTACGTATGCCTAGTCATCACCCTCCTCAACGGGCAATTTTAGCTGACATAGGGACAGGCTGGAAAAGAGCTAGCAGCGGTCAAACCAAAACATGGCACCAGTCAATGAAATCCACAACAGTTAGTTTAAGCCAGCCACGTAGAAAGGTGTACACTTTCTGGTTGGCTCAAAGTCGTTCTCAATGGCTGCTGCGGATGCATCCATTCCTTGTGACTTATAATTTCCAATGATATGCATTTCTCCTACTTTCTTCTCTTGCTTTGTGTGCTACATGGTGTGGTGACTTGAACTGCTGCACATATGTGCAAAGTTCTGTCAAAAACAAACAAGCAGACTGAAATCCCTAATAAAAATTAACAGATCTAAACAGATTGGGATATGCCCTTTGACGACAAAAAAGCACCACGTCGAGGGAATGATGCAAAAAAATATTGATCGAAAAGTAGAGGGCCAACGAAACCATCATCAACGAATTTCTATCCCCTAGATTTATATTAATATACAGATTTATGGACTGTAATCCGTTGAATGGAGATAAATGATGGTTCCCGGTTATCCAAGATTTATTAAGAGTTATGACATTTAAAGCGGTGACAGTTGAATTTCTTATATTGGCATTAGTAAAATGTAACTTAACATGATTTGAGAATCAGTTAAATTGAGAAATCTAGTTACAGCGAACAACTACAGTACGAATTAGTCACACCAATGGCTATTAAATTAATTTTTCTTCATATCGGTTAACATATTGAAAGATGCGTTCCCATTCTGGAAATACGCTGTAACCCATGGTTTTATGAAATTTGTAAACGTACCAAAGTCATAAATTGTCCCTAAAGAAACCTATAACTTGTAAACAGTATTAACTTTTGATTTCCAATTAATTCTGGTTTGATTTTGATTTTCTAATCTTTAAAACACAAAAAAATTGAGCAAAGAATATCCGCTTCAATAATTTCCTCTTCCGGCTCTACAATTATATATATATATATATATATATATATATATAATATTCTAGAATAGTAGTCAATAACAATATTAGTGTTGTTTAAATAATATCAATTTGTCAAGTAAGATCAACGGAATTACAGTCCATTAAAGATGCTTAAACAATAATAATAATAATAAAGATATAGTAGCAAATAGAATATCAACTAAAATTAGGAAAATTCCACAAAAATTCAGGATCATTCAAACCTAGATGGACAAGGTAAGGATAATGTTTGAACTAACTTCTTTCGGACGCACAAATTAGGCTTCTTAATATGGATCCCAACAGCCTCAGCAATATTTAGTAATCGAACTCTTAAGGCGAAATTGAGATTTGTCGATATGCGGTGAATGACTCTGAAAGCCTGGTTAACATCAGTCTTGTGTTCTGTATCCATAAGATGAGATAGAATAGCGCTACGAATTGATTTTGTTTGTCCTTTACTTAACCACACAGGGTGATGTTCGGAAATAAATAAATCTGCTTTCATTGTTAGCAATATTATATTTCTTATATTTTGAAGAGTAACAAACTAGATATGTAAGTTACTTTATTTGCATTCACCGTTCATCTTCCAGAATAAGCCCAATTAATTGAGGTTATATCTAATCACAAATTTTTATTGTTTGAATGTCTTGAATTATGTACATCATATCTCCAAAGTAGACATGGTTTATGGACCAGTGGAGGAAATTGCACTAACTAGCTGCGAGTGTACATTGTGGATAAACTGTAATATTCGGAAACTGCTCCGTAGCTATAGATTCACTTTTAATCCGTGACCACTCACTATAGTTTAAAGTGAATTAATGGATTGACAAGCGAGTCAAATGAATGAAGTTCTATTAACTAAGAAATCAGTGTAGATAAGTCATACCGATGACTAGAAAATGAATTGACTTGCAGAGCTTAAGGTATAACATCCATCATCCTCTAGACACTAAAAAAATGTGTAGATATAAACACGTCTCTAAAAAAAACAATGAAAGCAATTTTACCAAACACTTAGAAACAAAGCAGCTTTCAGTTTGACATATAAACTTAATTGAATTATCAAGGTATAAGGTACAGTGGTAACTTAGTGATATTTCACATATTACGTCGTAAAATTAGTAATTAGCGAGACGAATAAGTAAATGAATTCAAATAATATAGTGGCAAAAAAGTTTTTTTAAGTACGAAGCAACAGTGTCACAACCATTTTTACTTACAGTGGTAAAGTTGTGTATGGACAAATTGTGACCCACAATATGAGAAGTACAGAAGACTAGATAACAGCAAAGTAGCTACAGTAAATGCGAAGTCTTACTGTATTATTCGGAAAAAAGCGGGAAATTGCATCCCTTTTCAGTTAACTCCTCATTGTTGGTCTAACACTAAACAATCCATCCAGATTTCATCACTTGAAGGGAGATAAATTAATAAAAACCTACTAATTTTAAGGTAAGAAATGAGTAAATACGTGATTGCCACTGCCCGCTGAAAGCGAAATTTTTAGAAATCAGTGTCCTTATTTCTGGTCTGGCTACAGGAAACGTAATAGTCACATCAGTCCTACTAGACTGATAACTTCATTAGCAGCCCCTGTTGGGGTGTGGCATCAATGACCTACTTTACGAAATAGGCTGTACAACATACGTTGCATGACATTAAGCTAAATTTTGTCACAAAACCACTGAGTGAACCATGAGGTCCTATAGATTTACTCGCTGCTGTATAAAAGCATCAATCATGCAAATATATCGGTAAAACTACTCACATTGAGCTTTATATAAGTGACGTACGAAAACGCTTCTAATTTCTACCTGTTAAACCACCACAGAAAATGTAACACGTGTAAAGATATGCTATGTCGTGACCTTCCTCAACGAAAAATGTTAGCTGAAATAACACCAAATCGAAAAGGGGTTAGGTAACATGTCAATCAATCATGAACTCTGCTCCTGTATCCGTATCGACTTCAGTCTTCGGACGACTATTGCGATTCGCCCGAAACAACGGGTGTTCTGTGTGCAGAATAAACATTTCAGTCACTACTACTGCCCTTGCCTTCAGTGTAGACTATAAATTCATGAATTTGTATTAATATCTTTCCTAATTTTTCTGATATTCGGTGTATTGTTATGTTAATGCTATCGAACTGTAATCCATTGATATTATTATTGATTCGATATTATTTAAAAATTAATATTGTTAATAATACTAGTTCATTCACTATTATGTCCATATAACTGTGGGACCTAGTGATGAAGCTACTGGAAAGAAAATTCTTTGTTTAGTAACCATTCTTTTGAAAATTTTAATGGGCATTTTTAATCAGTTTGAGTAGTGATTACTTTATATAGTTATAGACTAAGTAAAACTATAATAACCATTTTGAGAAAGTGTCATTAGTATCTGTTTTGTAGTTAGTAGCTAGAATGGGGTCAGAAAATTGCAAAACAAATCGTAACATATGTGGAGTTCTACAGCCAGGAAAGTATCAGCAACATTATACATTTTAACTTATATCCAGACTACAGTTTCGTATTTTAGATATGTTAGTTTGTTAAGTTTAGTAAAATGTAGCCGAGAAAAACACATGAGTGAAGAAAACACGGAGAATAAAACTTCCATATACCTGCAACATTGTATTCAATGAACACCAATCAGAGAGGAAAATGAACTACCGGGGGTTTTCCCTTTCCCACTAATGCCTCACCATTATGGAGCCCTAATTTTGCATGGTTGTGAAAATAATGGGCTACACTGTAAAATCCAATAAATCACTCGGTGTCTCAAGTACAGGGTATGGAGAAATACTCCAGAACCTAGCTAAAAGCCTTTATCTGTGGAAGATAAGGGAATAAATACAATTACCCACAGTATTACAACACTAAAAGTTGTCTAACGTCCAACAGGTGAACACTTCCATCTTCCAGAGTGATTTATCATGAAACACTCCTATTGACTTCTTAAAGGAAGACCAACAGATCTCCACACCATACTAAGACTCAACCTTCGACAACCACAGCTTTGAAACGAGTTATGTATGCAACATATTTAAAAGAAATAATCCGTGACTATGGTAAAGTGTTATTGTTCTACACTAAGTAAATTATATTCCAAAAATTTTGATAAACATTTTGTGACACATCATTAGTTGAAAAATATTTCATGACAATTTTCACTAGATTAAATTAAGAACTAATACTTTTTCTTAAACAAACCTGGTCAGAATCTGATGTTATTAATGATGTTTCATGGAGTACACCTTGAGATAATACATTTTCCAAATGAATTTGCTGTCGACTGGAATCGCTTAACTGTTCATTAGTCTTTTCCTGAGGTAATCTATGTGGCCAGTTACTGAAAACATTTGAATTACCTTGATGCAACTGTATCTGTTATTTTTTGCTGCAGCGAAGAAGTTACTTTAAGCGCGTACGTTAGTTTCGGAGTACTCATTTTTGGAACTAAGTTGGCAGCCTCACGAAGCTAACCAATAAGAACATTAGAAAGAAGAGTATATTCCGTACCAGTCTCTCAAAAAGAGAATCTGCATCAAGCATTTTTCGTCTAGGGCTATATCCAACAGAGACCGCCATACAAGGACACCTTGAATAATCCGAAGGTTATGTAAATAAAGCAACATTTGCTCGCGCTACACATTATGCAAAATTCGAAGATTTTACTTAGGCCTGGCTAATATTTAATCAAAATAGAGATATCTTCGGCGATTTTTATTTATAAAGCACATACCTGTTGCTGCCAGTCGCGCCCTACGACTAAGCTATACCGAATTTCGCATATTTCGAACTATGGCTTATCTAATAGCTTCCAGGAAAATATTGTTTATCGATGGGAGTTGAAGACTAGTCTTGTCCCACAATTCTGATTATTATGGGCACAGACAGATTTCTTCCAAAATTTAACAAAACACTAGATAGAAAGTCACCATCAATGTCTTTATTGAGGTTCTCCGTTACGAGGTTTAATAGTTTGTTAATTTCGTCGTCTTGAACCCTGAAGGGACCACTTTCTTTGAAAAAGTGATCATCGAACTTCAAATAAGTGTTATTCACAATAGCCAGAACACGAGTCGCATTTACTAGTTAATTTACCTGTAGATGTTCAAGCTATATTGATATTTACAAACTGATCGATATTTCTCAGTTATCAATATCACTAGTAGCTCCTAAGACTCCAATCACTTTTCAGTAGAATTTTCGCCCATCTTTTTGGAGTTTAAAAAATTCAGAGACATTGGCCTGTTTGACCATAAAAGAGCTGTTTTGATAGGATTGTTGGTGTCTACTCAAGGCTGTTTTCTAATCGGCATTAAGTACGTATGTTTGCCCCTTTATTGTTATTGTTATATTATTATATTATATTATTGTTATATTTGACAGTTCTCATAGAAAGAATGGAAGACCCACGAGATTTACTATGACTATATGGAGGAAAGCTTCCGAATTATTACCACTTCATGAAGAAGGCAGATGCAGACCTCTGTTGGTATTGCATGTTAAGAGGCACCTCAGAGTTACGGTAGGACAAAGCACACACTGAACTGGAGGTCAAAATTCCATTCATGGGTTTTAAGATCACATTTGAGAACATTTATGTGATGGCTAACATTTTAAAACGGCTGCAGGATACCACCGTCCACCTAGACAACTTTATGGTCAACAAGATATTATCTTACTCCAGAGGCTCGAGAAAGGATGAAGTCCTAGTTTCATTACCTAGGTGACTGGCTTGTGTTTTCCTTCTCCCCCCAGTCGGAAGCAAATGATTATTTGGGCCCGCATGGCAGAGAGCAGTCGAAACCAGCGAATGATTCAAGTAAACGCACAGCACCCAAGCACTGATTCTTGCGATGTATTGAATGTATCACGACCGGACGTTGTAGGTGAAAATGCTGAGTAATGATGTGACGTGGAAGAGGTGAGTGGTTTTGACTGGTGAGACTATGTCCGTGACTAAAGCTACTATATTAAAGTGTCCCATCAAGAAGGATAAAGCGTTTCAAAAAGAAGGAGACTGTCCGGTGGTTCCTACGAAGAGAATGCAACAACTGTCGGTAAGTAAGGTTACATGAGACAAAAGACATTCATTGCTGGCCACTGATAATTACACTTCAACTACAGTTAGGAGACCGAAATCATTACTGTTGAAATGAAACTTAAAAGACTTTCATGTTCCATTGTGAGTGAGTTATTACTAAGCTTCATTTATATGGTTTTCCATCCAAAATGTTGAAAAGTACTAGAAGCTCACTGGGTTGTTGGAAAGGTTAACAGAAGGATCACTAGGTATCCAACGACGTCCCTGAACAAGAATCTGACAAAAATTAATACGAAGTGCCACACAGCTAGTTTTGATAGGTAACAGAGGTGTTATGGGGGGAATGAAGGTCTTCCAAGAAATTAACCACACTCCTTTGAACATTAAGGATGAGACTTGAACTAGAAAAAGTACTCTACTTTTGTCTCTTCTTTTAACCAGTGGGAAGTGCGTAAATTGTCTAAAGGCAGGTAAATATACTATTATGAAGCTGGTGAGTGCATCCGTCGAGTTTCGTTTGAGCTTACGGAGAAGTTAACATAACTTAGGGTATTTCGAAACTAAGTGGGGATATTGCACGTACTGACAATGCAAATAATAACTTCATTTAAAACAACAAGTTATGAGCACATGTGGATCTCCCTTGCTTGCTTTTCAGTTGTTTCCTAAGAAACCATAGGTAGTAGTATTTTTTTATTGTGATTACAGCTTGACGCCACACCGTATTTTCATTACAAGTATGGAATTTTCAGCGTGGGTATCGGTAGCCCAAATTTTGCAGGCCGACCATAGATATCTGGTGTGCGTCGGCAGGGGATCGAACCCCGGACCATGTGCATGGTCGGCGAGAGTCCTAACCACTGTGCCACCTTGGAACCTCTCATCCACTAAGACGTTATTGATGCTTCCGTTAGCTCTATCGGCTGTCTGCAATCTTGTCTTTTTGGAACATGCCTTTCTGATTCGTGTTCTGGTGAAATGCACAATGTCTGGCACAAAGAGAGGACGAGGCGATTTGGGGTATTATTTATAATTTACTTCATGTAGTTGATAGTATACCTGAAGTTAGGGATTATTAGTGTGCCGACAGTGGCTTGCTGAGGCTAGAACCTGTCCAGAGATACAGAGATTATGACGGTAGGCCAAGTGATTAAGGAGTTATGCTGGTGTCGGCGACAGTGATGTTAGGTAGTGAAAGTTCCTCGCCCCAAAGTTCATATTATGCCGACGATTTGAGCGAACATCTGTGTTTTCTAAAAGCGTATACGATACTGTTGATAGTGGTGGTGGACAGCTCAGAGATAACTCTAGAGACTTCAACATATTCCCAAATAACTTTAAAACCTATAAAACTACCCTGGTATTTGCGAAATGTACTATCATGTCCAGTTGAAGTCCCATTCGTGAATTAGTTAATAGATGTCTGCCCACCTACTTACACAGAAATCGGTTTAAAATTAGAGCTCGCACAGAGAAAGAGAAGACTAGGACTTAGATTTGCCGCTATTTCGAAGATCGTAGAAGACGGTATCAATCATAAAACTAAGCGGTCATTGAGTCACGGAGAGTCACTGGCGATGAAAACCTCATAGGGCAATATACGAGTGCTGAGATGTATAACCTGTAGTATTTAACATCCACCCAGTGAGTGTGCTGACTTTTCAAAATGTATCAACAGGAAAGACCAGAATCTGTGGCTTGTTAACCAACGCTGCTGCCAATATAATTACCGAAATAACCGAATGGTGGTGAGTGTGATAAAAGAGGACGGCAGTGTAGTTTAGTTCGTAACCAGGCTGATGGGTAAGAGAAGTAAGGATACGAACTCAGACACAGGGAAAGGCAATAGTCTTCAAATACCGTTTGATGGAGAAACGGAACCTTACAAATAGTGGGAAAGGTATCAACTTTTCGCGTCCTTCTGCATTGCTTAATCAATAGGCCCCTTTAAGTTACCATTGCGTTTATTTTGTGGGGACCTTACAGTGAGTGGAATACAATAATTAAGTGAGCTAATTGACGGTGAATATGAGCGGTACCCGCACACACTTCCAAGACAGGATAGGCATCCAGCTGTTTCACCCAACACTTAGGGCAGGTAAACAGATCAAAAATCTTGCGTGTAAAAACAGGTGAACTTTGAAATACGTACACCACGGAGATCTAAAAGTGTTCAACTGAAGCTGCTGTCAGCCGACTAGATATAAGAGATCGATACACTAGGGTGCCTCAAAATAGGCTTGTGATGGATGCACATCTCTGGGCTAACTACAATAAGTACAATAAACATCTGACCAAACAGCTTTTGAAAATCTTAGGCGCTATAACGCTTATAGCCTTACAACATTAAGCGTGCAATATAAGCAAATTAATCATTGACATGCTACTGAACGAACGAAAATCAGATTCGCAACAGACACAACCACAGTTAAGGTGTGTATGATGTCAGCGAGCAAGTCGCACGGAGAGGTAGGTTGCCTGGAATATCATCCCTGTTTAATTCACCGAGGCTAGCGGAATTGAACCTGTTCAATAAACAGAGATTCCTGCAAGGGATGTGCAGAGGAGGGTTGCATCATTGACAGGCATGATCATTAGTGCAAGAACTGTTCAAATGAGCTGAAAAATACAAGCCTCATAAACAAACAAATGCAGTTCATACAGCCACCACATAACCCAGTAAAAGTAAGAAAACTTTCCAAAGTAGGTTAACAAACTCCAAAACAGCCCATCCGAAAATGATTCACCCAGATGGCATTGCTTAGAAGAGTGACGAGGCGATATGCGAAAATATATATAAATTTACTTGAAAATGCATGCCACTTTTACTGGCACGATCGAATATGATATAATGTCAAATAGTAGATTGCCCACAAGTTAACAATGTTTGAACAGCTAAATATTAGATATATATAAATACACTCATTGTCTGAACCAGGCCGTATAATTATTGAATTGTACAGTATCCCTCCAGGTTGCGCGGGAAAATCAACTTCGCTTCGTTTTCAACCCGGAGTGAGGCTATGTTCTATGACGATGTGTTTTCGTGCATTATATGGGTTATCGCGTTCATGCCTATAGAGACGTTCTAATCGCTCAGTTTTGCTAAAATAGATTATATTTGACTAGTTTTAGGCTTCTGTAGCCGAAAAATGCAATATTTGTCTGTATTGTGTTCGTAGTAATGCGTAAAACTGTCATGATAGCCTAGACGAATTACTAATGAAAAAAGTCATCATTTTGAAGAAATATCGCATAAAAAGACTATTATTAGGGCTTAAGAGCATTGAGGCATTGTTTTTGTGAGTTGTTTCAGATCTTAAGGTTGTGAATTGACTGCAGGCAATGGCTGTTGTCATCCCAGTTATTCTATGAGAATCGTGCATTTGAAAGAGAAATAGCCTACAGACATAAGTTAGATGTGTGTTTGGAGGATGCTAGACACCTCTTTTATCATCTGTGATGAATGAAATATTCCATAACACATGGAAGAGATCATGCGATGAATGAGATAGGCTGCTGCATGTCCTGGTGATTATATCTACTTTGATGAAG